TTCGCAAAACCGATATTTCGGAAAACCGATAGAAAAAGACGAAAACACTGCTATCGGTTTTCCGAGCTTTGACTGTATTGATAATCGCTCCTCTGAATTTACTGTAAACGGAGATACACAGTGTGCACGTGATACCTGTTGACTGCTGTGTGACCAGAAAAAAACTACAATATAAAAGATTATTGGCACTGTGCGCAGATGTCTTTATCTAGGTCATAGCAAGGTCTTTACAACCCTAACCAGGAAACTGTTTAAGGAGTCTACATTACTCAATACATTAATATAAATAAAGTATTCTATTTTTCCTTGTACTTTTGCGTGGACTAAAGAAATAGGCCGAGACAACGGTAAGTCCGTAGCTTCGCCCGTTGTGTGGTCCATCGTCGTCTATTACAAGAACTTTCGCAGCAAGCAACCTTTGTACAATGGTCAATCGCATGTAGGTGTCAAACTATTTGTCTTATACTTTCAAGTGAATGTATGCTACATGCCATTGTTAATACCTTCCATGTTCTCATTTTGAATCGCCTTTTTCCCCCATTGGTTTTCTGTCCGTTAAAGTTAATATTAAATACAACCGAGATAAAGTGGCCTGCGTTTGTTAAATGAAAACTCTAACTTATGTACAAATTCCTTAGTGAATAACTTCTTATTTTTACTCGGTGATTTGCGTTAATCTTTGCGCTTGATCCATCACTTCGAAGCTATGGTCGAACTGGTTGTATATTTACAACATAGTAACAGTCGAACTAATAGCCCACAGAATCACACGAACAGTATGCAGTGAAATGGTATCTGTAGCGTAGCGCTCATCGATTTAAACTCAAATTGTGAAGCATAATTTATGTCATATGTTGGTACAGACGTGGGAAATTTAGATTGAAAAAAGCCGGGGAATTTTCATCGCAGTTTCTGGGGGTGCAGTTTTTCGAACAAGTTTTTGCAGTGTTCTCCATTGAGTGCGATTTTGGGAGCATTTATGTAATGCCCTTCAATGTAGTCTTTATTTCCTAGCCACATCAGCCTCGTTTGTAGCACGTGGTAAAATGGTTTTTATTTTGTTACATTATCAACAGGTAAACCATACAACAACAGACAATAATACTACCGGTGACACAACCAATATATGCTACAAATCAAGAATTTCGACTTACCCTTTTTGCTCAAACCTTTTTTTGATCTTTATTTACCACTGGCTCACCGCTACCTATTATCCCCGCTTTCTTTCTTTTACTGCGCAATAATTTCCAATATCATATCATATATAAATACTACTTGAAAAAGAAGGGATATTAAACAAATTCAATATCCTGTCATTGTTTGACCTTCGTTTCTCCTTATTGTTCCTTTGTCTGCAATATATAAAGGAGAACACAAAAAAATCCGTTACGACAAGAGGATAAAGACTATATTAGATAATTGGATATCGTTTCTCAATAAATATCATACACATCCCAAACTCCCACACAAACACATACATTATAATTGACTTGCTCTCTTCTCATCCCAAAAGTATACAAACACTCTAAAAGAATATCCAACTCCTAATAATACTCATATCTACTTAGTCACTCTTCATACTATATAATACAAACTAATACAAAATGGGTTGTTGTATGAGCCAAGAAGAAAAGGAAGGAAGACGCAAGAACGATGAGATTGAAAGTCAGCTTAGACGAGACAAGATGTTAATGCGAAATGAGGTCAAAATGCTTTTGCTTGGTATGTTGACTTGCTGGGAACAGATGAGAAAGAGGAAGGTGGTAAAAGAATAAAGAGTAGCTTGCGTGTCTCGAGAACAACGAACCCGATACATGCAAGAATAGAAAGTGACTTGGATTAATATAAGTTTTAGCATTATGTAATAACAATAGACCCAACCTCCGTCAAAACTTTCTGAATACTCTAAAACCGTGCTTGAATAGTCACATAGTTGAGGTTATCCATAGTAATAACGCTTAACTATTATTGGGAATATTTCTTAGGGGAAAAAATTTACTCCCGAACTTAAACGCCAACTAACTTATCCACTCAACTTACTTTGATTTGCTTCCTATAGGCGCCGGCGAATCAGGCAAATCTACCATTCTTAAACAAATGAAACTAATTCACGACGGTGGTTATTCCCACGAGGAAAAGGAATCCTTCAAAGAAATTATCTTCTCCAATACTGTTCAATCAATGCGAGTAATTCTCGAAGCCATGGAAACAAAAGGCATTCCGCTCCGCAACGATTCTAACAAGAACCATGCAGCAGTCATCCTCAATCTTCCATCCCAGATCGAAGGCGACCATCTTCCGCCCGACGTATCTGCTGCAATAAAAACGCTGTGGACGGATGATGGTGTTCAGCAATGCTTTGCACGTAGTCGGGAATACCAATTGAACGACTCGGCAAAATATTATTTTGATAGTATCGATAGGATCGCTCAGCCGGATTACCTACCGACCGATCAAGATGTATTACGATCTCGTGTCAAAACCACAGGCATTACAGAGACAACATTTTTAATTGGGGAGTTGACATACAGGATGTTTGATGTCGGTGGTCAAAGAAGCGAGAGGAAGAAGTGGATCCATTGTTTCGAAAATGTAACGGCTATTGTATTTTTGGTTGCCATTTCGGAATATGATCAATTGCTTTTGGAAGATGAGAGTGTGGTATGTGTTATGAAGGGATTTTGTCCTCTTATGTCGAGTCATTTCAGATTACTCATAATCTAACTTTTTTTTTTCTTTTCCGCAGAACCGTATGCAGGAAGCATTAACACTCTTTGACTCAATTTGCAACTCCCGATGGTTTGTAAAAACATCAATCATTCTCTTCCTTAACAAGATCGACCGCTTCAGAGAAAAACTTCCCATATCCCCCATGAACAAATATTTCCCCGACTACGAGGGTGGTAATAACTATGATGCTGCATGCGATTATATTCTCAACCGATTTGTGTCGCTGAACCAGAGTGACGTTAAGCAAATTTATACACACTTTACATGTGCCACGGATACTCAGCAGATTAAGTTTGTTATGGCTGCGGTAAATGATATTATTATCCAGGCTAACTTAAGAGATTGTGGTTTATTATAAAGAGCGGGAGTACATGTTAGTTTGAAAAGGGAAGAATTGGATGGGGTGGGCGGGCGGTGAGGAGTTGAAAAGTGAGAGATAGAAGACGGTGTTGAAATATTTTAAGTTTAGAGACACTTGGCTTTATTTTTTTTAAATGCGCTCATTGAACTGGGCTTTCGATTCGATCTTTTTCATTTATTTATCTTCTAGAGATTGAACTTGATCACTGGATGATTACTCACGGTAGTGAATTGTAGTTTTTGTAATTAAGGCAACTTGTCTAATTGTTTTTCTCGTCAAGTTGTTGTCATAATAAGTGTTTTGAAAAAACCTTAAATGCTATCTCTTCTACGATAAGAATGACCGAATTTCTTGGTCGATTGTCGTTTAACCACGATCTCTTCGCGCAAATAGCTGTCTAATCTTGCTCTAGCATTAAATCTGTCCGACCGTTTAATATCTTATCTGTTGTGATTAGCATATTTTTTTCTATTTTTTTTTTCCCCTATTTATCCTATTGATATTTCCATTAATTCCATTTGTACTTAAAAGTACTTTCATTTGTCCTTTCTTGTGTATTATTAGTTACTATTTTGCTGTCAATCAATGAAAATAAATGTATGGTATCAACGACAGATGCAAAAAAGAGAGAGAAACGGGTATATTGAATGATAATAGAATATTCTCATACGAGATCTCTTCCATGATTGTCCGCTTCGAACTATTAAACAATATAATCAGTTTTAGTTAGCTCGCAATCCTACTTACAATATCTCATTAGGCATACGTATTATTCAGGCTTGTCGGGGCATCCGTTTTAGGTTCGTCTGATGATCATTCAGGGTGAAACCATAGGTCTGAAAAAGGAATAAAAATGAGTTTGTACACCAACTTAGTGTGACAGATACAATAGGATTTTCAGTCGATATGCAATTACACAATAAGAACGCTCTATATTTACACAACGGAGAATTCTGACATTCTCAAATGGGACTTGTTTTTGCTGTAACGTAATATGAAGATTATGGCAATTTTGCACACGTTCATTTGATGATGTACTATGTTAAACATGGCAACTCTTGGCAGGTCTACATAGTAAGGTTGTCTGGGAAATGTGTCGGTACCGATAATAGACTCACTTCACAAGTCCCATCAGCAAATATTTACGCTGGGGTGGAATTCTTACTGCAAGGTAGTTTACGGAAGCGGCAACAACGATCAATCTAATGAACCTCTAAAATTTTATCATTATAAAGCTGCTGTTGTTTGTTGCGACTTCCCATCCTGGTGACAGTAAAAGCAAAAAGAATGCAGGACAAGCGCAATTACAGTCTGATAATGCATCCGGGAAGAATATAAACAGGTCTTTTGTATATGCTTTGATTCAAAGACAATGACATAGTTTTGTCAAGAAACTTACTTCGAACCGGTAAGATTTGCTTGAAACATCAAGTATTGAGTTTACCATACCCGAACCATGTACATTTACAGATATCCACAATGAAAAGCAAATGACAAGAACAAATGATTGAATGTATTAATGGTTGCTAATAAAATTTAAAAAATAAGTTTCATTTGTACGATTACGGAATTTTGTAGTCTGACCCCCAATAAATAACATTCTATTCATTTTCGCACTGTACATACCAACGATGACACGTGTCTCCTTTGTTTCATCTTTAAACTTAATTAATTTACCGACGCTTGAGCCATTCATATTTTCTACTGATCGCCAAGGTCTGTGAAAGTTTCGTGCTCAGTTTTTCGTGTAAGAAAAAGAGCCCGCCTATGCGGAATAACTACTTGCATAGAGAATGAGAATGCTCGTACTTTTTCGTACTGTTCAGGATCAAAGTGCTTCGATATACTGTGTTGTGAATTAAGTTCGGTTTACCAATTTTTGTAAGATAGGAAAATCGGAAAATATCAACAATCACAAGGTTTCTTTAATTTTTCATATATGATTAATTAAAGAGGGTACTACCCGTTAAATGAGATATTGCGTTGCGAAATAGTTGGAACTTTAGAATTTAAATTGTGAAGATGTAACAGTTTACATTTAAGGAATTTTACCCCAAAGTTGAAACTCACACATGGATTGGTAACACCTCATCACAATTTTAGGTAAGAATGTTTCGCGCGGAATATGTGATTTCTGGCAATGATACCGGTATCTACTCGAAGACGCCACGATTACCATGCGCAAACAATGTACATTATCTTAATGTTTTTGCTACAAGTGTTCAATCCGGATAGAAAAAAGAACTTGTTAGAAGCTCGATATATACTCTCTTAATAATAAAAACGTTCTTTCTTACCATAAGGGTTTTGGACTTGGTAGCGATTGGTTTAAATGAGAGAATAGTGCCAATATGATTTACATGTTGTACAACAAATCAACAAAGCTGATTTGCCGATTTATCCACAACTGTTTTGACAACGAAGCACCAATAATTGTAAAGTGCAGACAAAAAAAAATAGTAATTCAGTAATTATTATTTGGTATCACTAGTACTAACCCGCTAGGATATTATCTTGTATAAAAAGCAGGTAAAAGTTAATGCGAGTACTTTGTAAAAGTATAACTCGCAGACCTTATGAAATGACCGCTCATTTGACACGAACATCAAAACGTTTATTTTGATGCACTGAAAAGGGTGTGTGATTTAGAGACGATTACTTGATGGTACAAAGGAAACCAACTCCGTTACACCGAATACACGACTTTGTTATAACAATTATTTTTCGCTATATCGAATTTTACTATGAAATCCTTTGTTGACTGTTAACCGAAGTTTTTTAGCACCGGCTATAGCAATTTTACCCCGCTATTCCGAAATTTCCAGCGTAACCGAGGCTCTGCCGAAGTTTTCAACGTATCGGTATCCGAAGATCAGATGATCCTGACGAGTATATTCTGATCAAGAAACCAAAGACATGTTAAACGATGATGAAATTTTTGCGGTGATGAAATTTTTGAAGAGGACAATAACGCAGAACATGTTACTCTTAAATAACAACGGCCGAAACAATAGACTCTATTGGCAAGTTAAAACTGTTTCTTGTGCATGCAGAAGAAATTTGGATATAAGCGCAAATTTTTTTCATGTTTGAATAAAAAGTTGAGGGTATAGTCGGACATAGGCAGTTATTTTTGATAGCTGATATTAATATTATAGTAAAAACAATTTTCTGCATAATGCGCATTTAAACCAATATTATTTGTCTCGCTTATCCGAAGTACGAGACTCTTTATTCTCCCGTTATACCGCAAAAAAAAAAAGGCTGCACGGACGCCTTTGTGATAACGGGGTTGTCTTTGTATCAAGCGCGTAAATTCCAAAATAACAGTAAAATAATTATTTAGAGTATTTATTTTGTTGGCAAATTTGTCATAATGTACAGGATGGAAACAGAGCTGTAGCTGTTCCAGCAAGTATTCAAAGTGTTGGTAGTAAATTGTAAAAAGTTAACTTATTTACTCAATAAAAACTTTTGGCAAAGAAAACTCGCATTATGATAAACCAGATGTTATTCAATATCAACGGCAGCGGTGAAATTTACCAGTTGAGTTCATTAATGTCTTAAAAACTAATGTTAATACAAAAATTAAAGCTGTTTAAAACGGTTCGGACCGGGAAACGCGTTTTGTATTAAACCCTTTTTTAATAAAGCGATAAATGTATATAGGAGTTTATATTATGAGACTGTAAGTTGAGAAAACGAGGAATTCAGTTTTTATCAAAAGCCTATCATTTAAAGTAATTTTGATCCGAAGATGCACGAAATTTTTTAAGTGTTCTAAACACGGGGAAAATGCCAAAAATAAGTGGTATTGCTATTCCTACTATCGGTAACTTTCGATAGAAGACAAATGTATATTTTTTGATAATAATTATTATACAGTATTAGTATGTTTGCTCAAAGAAAAATTACAAAACAATAAAGTTTTTTTTTATATATAACGTTATTAGGTACTAGAAAAATATTGCACACTTTTGTATTGAAAATTTTTTCATATATACCCGAAAAGTGTTATTTACTTAAAATAAATGTAATATTTAGTCATTTGCAGAATCACGGCTTGGATCTAGTTGGACATAGATAATATTAAATTGCAATATATTTTTTGCAAAAGCGCATTTAGCTCTTCTTTTACTGCCTTCTCAAGTTGTGAACATTTAAAAAAAAAAACAAGACAGTTTTTCTCTGTCGCAGACGCGTCCTTGCTTAAACAAAATTACTACTTATGGATAAGAAGAAATAGTCGTTCAACCCACCAATATAGTTTTTTTAATTATTTGAAAATTAAATGCAAACGACATCAACGTACTGTTTGAGGTACAGTGTGTTGCAAAAAAAATGAGAATTTTTTTACGTAAATAAAATGCTTGTATTTCGATTTAGATGCATCAAATCTAAAAAGTGTAAAATAGGAAATGATTACGATTATCAAGAGTAGATTGGGCAGCGCTCACGCGTTGTTTTCATTATATACTCTTTGAGTTAGCCAACTCGTAATGTTTGTTTTGAAGCAAGAACCAGAAGTGGAAAAGTGCATGTCAAAAAACATTAGTGAATTAGAGTCATTTATGATGAAAGATGGAGAGAACATCCAAATATTGTTCTAGTTAATCTTGTAAAAACGTTGCAAGTTAATTATTGCTAATAATGGAGAGCGTATACCATATTAAATATATATCAATAAAGTCTGTTGCTTTCTAGCTTCCAAATAAGTCTTTATTCATGAAATTTTGTTCATTCGTTAAGGCATAACAGCGAAATTTTTTATTCTCATTTTTTTTGCAACACACTGTAATATCATAGACATGGCACCAGGTTCAAATAGTGACTTTATACAGTCATTTGCTAGTGATGTAGTGCATGAAATAAGCGAGTCAAAGTGATTGCCAATAGCTGTCATAGACATGAAATGGCAAAAAAAGACACCACGGCAAGAGAGAAGAGTCTAAGAAAGGGATTACTAAATTTAGAAAGTGACAAGATAAATGGAGTAAGGTGTCATTAATGCCACTGAAATGTATCATAAATTATTATTATATATAATTTTGCAATTAACGCAATCTAAATTTTAATCCTCGCCTTTGTTCTAAATTTTATTACAAATGCGTATGATGTAGGCGAAAGAATTTCGTGAGTTTGTGGATAAGAGCTATATGAGAACAAGAACGGACAATACTATGAAGATCAGATGAACTTTTCGTAAGGATTTCTTATACTTATGCCTTACGATCAAGCCTTTCTTTTTTAGGATGGAATCATTCGAAAGAGACAATAATCTTGCAGACTATAATTTGTCAGAGTTAAGATATCGCGAGACATTCCTTGCACCACTTATACGCGTAGTCTATTTCGGGGTATACATCGAGAAATGAGTTATATTCTTGTAATTATAGGAATGCCGTATGTCGCTATGTCTGTCACGTCGTTTATAAACTTTGTACTCTTTTTTTAGTGGTGAAACGTGTTTGTGCGCCTCTTCAGTAGACTGAATGTTGATGAAGAAAATGGAAATTCTGGACGAAAACTAGACATTATCTGGTGTATAAAACCGACAGACTTTGAATTTCTATATGTAAAGTAAGCGGACGCCCAAATAGACGACAACATGAGCACTCTTTCGCAGAGAGGATAAAGATAGGAAGATGTTAAAGTAATTGTAAATCTTCCAACCAATAATGTTAAAGTTGGATTTGCTTTCTGATACCACTCAAGATTAAGGTATGTCTTTATTATGTAATAAACGGCTGATGACATTGTGCACTATTAGGAATTACTCAAGCAGAGTTTGGACGATACTAAGGATTATATTTTGAGAAGCATGTACTAGTACATCAGACTATGACGCAAGCAGATCCATTCGTTTGCTCGACGTCCACAAGCAATACGGTATCTAAAAAAAAAGGCAACGAATTTAATGTTTGTTAGTAACTGTTTATAATTGAATATAGTCTCTTGCGCATTCTATATCACCCGCACATCACCGATATTTGTTCAAAAGGAGTTTGTTTCGTTTCAATTCTTTCATAATTTGTGTGCAAACCAAGTGATTTGTTGAAGAAATATGGTCGTTTTGTATCGATCAAAAATGTTAACTTTAGTTGCTCGAAAAGATAAATAACTCGCATACCCAAGTTTATACAGCAAATATTAAATGGATAGTTACAAAAACATGGCTGAAATTGGTTGAGGGGGTCCAGTTCATTTCTTGACTAAAGTATCTCGGCCCGGGGAGATACTATATTGGTAGTTAACACCCCCACAGCGTTATGTAACATTGTGGTGCATACGATTCTGGAAGAAAATTGAAAAAATCAAAAAGTGTTTATGTGGTACATAGAACTCCCGTGTGCAGGGGGAATGAAATTGAAAAAAATCAACTCTAAAAGCCAACATTTGATGTGTCAGGAAAAGTTGAAGACGAGCAGTTGTTTAATTACGTTTAAATGGGCGACAAAGACGGAACATATAATGGAAATAACGCTTTTGATGTTTATTCGGATAGAGAACGTCGAACTATCAACATCAACCAGACGGTTACTTGTAACTGGTGAGGATACGTATATTTTTACATTAGGCGCAATCCGCTCATTGCTTTAATAGAAATTCTGCAGTGAAAGCGTTTCTTGAGCTATGCACGATGGACATGTAAAATTGTTTCTAGGAGAGTTATTCAAGTATCAAGATCTTACGTTAATTAATAAACATTGTTTTTATTTGAGCCACGTAACAACGCAATCAAACTTTATACTCACTTTTTTCTATTTTACAATTTTTTCGGCTGCAGGGCACTACACGCAGGGGAATGAATACTTTAGTCAGCGGTATATGGTAATGTCCCAACAATTATTTTAGGCGTTTTGACAAATATTAACAGATTGATGTTGAAACATTTTCCAGGAAAAAAATAATTATCGCGGAAACGATGACCGTAGGAGATGATCATCTTCCCATCAAATTGTGTGCACCTCTAACAACAAACTCTACTGACCTGTTTAATGTGTTATGTAATTTTTGTCTGATGAAGAAATAGATAATGTACATTTCTTATCGAATCCAGCGAGTAAAGTTTTATTTTCTCAAACTTAAAACTTATTTTGTAAAACCAAGCTTGGAGAAAATACAGTATTGTTTAAAAATAAGCAACATCCTAACTCTCCAAAAACAAAACAATTTGAATAAAAAATTTTTGTTTCAAAGTATAATCCTTTAGTATAAAATGCAGTCGCTATTGGCTTCTATGAATGCAGTAAGACGTCTCCACATACTCGTAACGGGCTATAAAAAATCGCGATTGTATTGACCCAAACCATATTCGTAATCGGGTTTGTGATACTCTTTAATAGGGACACCCGGCTTACTTTTGGAAAGTACTGCAATAATCTGTGGTACCTTTTTTTGGCAAACAGGTTTGTAAAATGCTTGGCGTTTGTGTGAAACAAAGATAATAAAGTTTGAGAATAAAGTTTGAGATTCTGCATTGTCTAATCACAAGCCGAAGCCACATAATGCGGTTATCGCCCGCTTAGTAGAAGTACATATGACTGAAACAAGAGCATGTGTTTTCTCTATCGCTAAAGTTCATATTTTGCAATGTTGCTGTAAATAGACGATATTACGGCCACCAAACAAATATGCACTGACTTGCATAAAAAGCCGTATATCGACAAATTGCTGCAAGATTGCTGTTAAAAAAAAAGTTGTGTAATCTTGCATAAACATTCATTTTGCTTCAGCCGCATTCTAAAGTTACCAAACGAGATATCGGCTTATCTTTTGTAAATACATGATTGATTGTTAGAATAACATTTGGAATATAAATTATTTATGTGTACGAGATCACTTACGTTAACGGCACTTTGTTTTTGTCCAGTGCAGCGGTCGGTGGCGTAAGTGTCATTATTGTCAAAAAAGAGAATTGATGTACTTAGATCTACCGTCAACTTTACACTACGTTGGTTCCGTTTTATTGCTTGTACCATGCATTTTCTTAGACGTGTTAATTTTAAACAAGACCATGTTTAATAGTATAGAGAAATTTTGACATGGCCTCAATCAAACCAACAAGTGTCAATCTTGATCACATTAATAATTTTTTATAAAATACAACCCCGAGTTTATTGTAGTTAAGACCAATTCGTTGTATCAAGTCTTTTGCGAAGCTTTTAATGACCGTACAAGATATAAACTTGTTGTCTAATTTCCGACAAATAATTTATTTTTGGGGTCTCCAATACTTTGATATTTATTCTCATTTTCACTAGTGATAATGTATGGAAATTTGAGGATACTACCGAAAATGAAATAACCGAGCCCCTCGTACACAATGGGGAAAAGAAATCCCAGATAGGTACTACAGTACACTCACATGCGTTGCAAAAAAAATTAGGTTTGATGAATTAGATAGCTGTACGGAAGCACGTTGTACAGCGCATTGCGAAAGATTCTTTTTTCGAATCGTTTATCCTTTACAAAGAAAATCTTATCTTTTTTTTTGCATAATGCTTAAAGTTGTAAGATAAGAATGCAAAAATCTTGGACACAGCCTCCGTGAGCATATATGGAATACGGAATGGAACGTTTAAGTTTCCGAATATTTATATTGTACAATACCATTATTAAATTGGCTTGCTTGAATTATATATTCGTAACTGTTATGAGACGCTCAATATAAATATTTGTTCAAGTCAATTTTACAAACAACGCCACATGGATGGTTTTAACGGCAATAGCAGCATGATAACACATATCTTGATTTTAGAAGACTAAATAAATAGTTTGTTTGTGGCCGCGATATTATAAATTAGAGCTTAAAATTTTTTATTACGAGCTCGTTCGTAACCATTTGTGTAAAATTGTTTATTAGGACAACGTAACAGCTAATAGGATCTTGAACCGAACTTTATTGTGTTCCAACCTGGGTTCCACCGTAATTTTTTGCGTTTCGCAAATCAGGGTCCAATATTCTCGTCATATAACACGAATGTATTTCTACAATCTTTTTCGCTGGGTAGCGCCAAGCTGCATAAAAGATGAGACATTAGTGGTAGACTTTTACGTTGCTTTCGAACGAATTTATTCAAATTACTGGAGAGGTAAGGTGGAACTTGCGCTTGATTTTGCATAAATCTCGTTTTTTAAAAAAAAAAAAAAAAAAAAAAAAAAAAATTTTTTTTAGACTAGGTTATTTTTTAAAGTAAAAAAAAAACTGCTGATAGTAACTTGCTATTAAAAATAATAAAGCTGTAAAATTAATCAACTTGATTTTTGATACTAGAAAAAACATAAGCTGTGAAAATTAATAAACTCTTATTCAACAGACAGTACGAGGTTTAAGAAGACAAGTTTTGAAATCTCAAATATTTTGTTGCTTCTAGTTCAAGCAATATTAATACCTAGGATCACGATTCGTCAACGAGTGAATTTCTATAATCATAACTTTGAATTTGGTAGTCGTTTGACATAAATTAGCAAAATTTAGTTACACCCCGAAAAGAGCTGGTGCAAATCGTCAATGAGTTGAGTAGATCAAAATATTTCTCTCCATTGTATCAACCAATCAAACAATCATATCTTGGAAGGGTGCTTTTTTTTTTTCCTTTCGTTCTGTCGATTTATCTACATCAACAAATGTACCATAAATGGCAAATAATAACATGGCGTTCTGCCGCAAATAAGGTTCATATTAACCCCTGAAAACGAACCCATCTGCATCAAATTATAATTTACAATTCAAAACCACTCGCATCCAGTATGGATACGCTTTGTATCACATTTGTGTGTTTCATAAACGCAGTCCATTATATTGAAACTTTACACAGAAATCTAAGCGTTGCATTCTCTATATAAAGAGATAATAAACATTCACAACTATTCTCATCTTTTTTTTTCTACGAGATGTTAACCACCCTGATCATATCATTCTCCTTTTGGGACGCTCTAAATATTCTTTGGTCTGTCGCTCTCATTTACACGATCAAATTCTATCTCACGTATTTTACCCGCGAAAATCCACTGCCTGGTCCACTCCCACTTCCCGTAGTAGGAAATCTCCTGCAACTAGCCACAGCTGGCGATACTAGCAGATGGGCTTTACAATGTCAAGCTAAATATGGCGACATGTGGGAAGTGTATGTTGGAAGCATCAAATACATCTGGGTGGCAAGAGCCGATTTAACCGACAAAATTATGGATGCATCAAAAACCAGCAACTACTTTATTCGGACTCCGCCCAACAGTGGGATAGCCATGCTAGGAATCTCATCAAGTGGCCTGGCATTTAATGAAGACAAAGACAAATGGTTTTTTAATAGAAAGATTGTCGTTCAAGCCATATCCAGTACAAAGTTCATAAAACAGATTACAGAATGGATTCAACATGAGTTTATCGAAATGGAGGGATACATAATGGAACTTGGTTTCGACGAAAAGGCTTTTAACTGCGCTAGTTGGGTTCAAAGATTGGTTACGGATACAATATTTGTTGCATCAATGAACAAGTACGCATGTACTTTGGCTTCGCTGTACAATTCTCACAATCCACCGAAACGAGCTCCGTATACACGAAAAACGGTTGAAGAATCCGACAATTTTGTTCACGCCATGAGAACGTATTTTAGTTCACTCGACTATTTCCTGTTCATGCCTGAATTTGTTCGTACCAAGATACCGTTTGGACGTCGACAAACTAAAATGTACATGGACAATTTGCATTGGTTACGTGAGGTTTTGACGCAAATTATTAAAGAAAAGAGAGAGGAAGTTAAGAACGAGCAGTCCGAGTTGAGACCCGATCTCTTGACATTGATGGTTACTGCGAATACCCCAAGAGATGTTACACAAAATATAAAAACTACTGTCGAGGAACCCTTGACAACTGAGGAAATTGGGAACTGCTTTATTGATTTACTGGTTGCAGGTATTGACACGGTAAGACAATAATATTTAATTTTAATATCAGATCTTATCGGATTTGTGTCACGTTCCCGTGTAAATGCTTACCACAAACCCCCCTCCACAAATTTATAGACAGCCAATCTGATCTGTTACATACTATATTATGTAATTAAAAATCCAGAAGTCAAGAAGCGCCTCCAGCATGAACTTGACACCATTTACGGAGCTGATCCCACTCGTCCAATAACTTACGAAGATTTGAATAAATTAGTGTATATAGAGGCTGTCATTAAAGAGACTTCTAGAATACTGCCTGCTACTGCTTTAAACATTCGAACGGCCGAGAGAGATGATACCATCGGAGGATATCCGATCAAGGTGAGTTATTCCCTGGCATGCAATAAGAGTAGCACAATATGCCATGCATTCTTCCGTACGATATTTTATCCCTGCATCCTATTCATTCTCAACTTTAACCCTACGGTTACTACTATTATTAATACTGTTATTACAGGGTGGCCAACAAATAATATTAAGCTTTGCTGGAATTCAAAATCACCCTAAACATTGGCCTAATCCCGAACAATTCAACCCGGATCGCTTCCTAGAACCCAACGTCTCTAAAATCGAGAGACATTCGCTTCCTATGTTTGGAGGTGGATTACGCATGTGTCCCGGTAAACACATGGCAATGACCGAGATGAAAGTGGTTATTGCCATGGTATTCCGTAAATATGATCCCGAACTGGCCACTGCGGATACTGAAATGAAGTTTAAGCGCGCAATGGTGAATCATTGTGCCGAATTAATGTTAAAATTTAAACCTAGGACGAAAACGGTCCACTAGATGGGTGGAACCATTTGCAAATATCCATGGAGAGAATGGGTTTATTGTATATTATAGTTCATGGTTTTAGTCCGTTCTCTTTCCTTACTGAGTTGTAAATTTATTATTAATTAAATATGTTTAGGTTATACATAGGGGGAAATAGTGCACATAATGAACATTCTATTAAATATCTCGTATAATTCTATGCGCTTTTTGAGCAGACTGGGAAATTGTAATCAGAGTTCCCTTTGTATATGTATATTTAGCGATAATTTATTTCGTCGAGGAATAAAGATGTTAATATATATACTTAATATAACATGTGGGTGTCTAAACTTGCATAATATTGTATTTATCGATCGTTTTCGTACAATATTTTCGGATTATGCTAACTAAATTAAAAATTACAATTGGTAATAAAAGTTGATGCCCTGGAGTCAATGAGAGCGTAGACTTAAATTTGCAATTTTGTGTATGACAAACTATATTAACATCGGAGGAACCACCAAAGCTCTGAATAAGATGTAATAACGGTTTAGATCAACAAACTCTGGACCAAAAACAGCCTAACTTGTCTAGTAATTTGCTTTATTGATTACCACTAATATTCAACAAGCGTTTGTTTATCATACGTAAATGACGTCTGTACAAACAAACGCAACGCCTGCATCTTCATGTTTGCCCCCCTCTCTCTCCCTCCCTCACCAATGCTCATGAGTGGATCTTCGATCTGCTTTATCATTTAATCAAGAAGTAAAAAATCGACCAAGTACGCAGAGATCATTTAGTATCTTAAATGATTAACAGTTGTCTCAAAAGAATTATATTTAATACCATCAGTAAATCTCTCTGATCTAAGATTGTCGCTTGCCACACCAAAGTTTATCTACTAACGGATACGGAGTGCATTTATTCATGTTAATGAAAAGGTTGATTATGGTTAAATGGATCAATATGAGTTACTAGTATAACAATCTAAGTGTGGGTACCGTATATCTGTATATTCTGTGTCGCTAGTATTGATAAATTTTACCTTCGTTTATTCCCAGTATTAAATGATTTAGTACAGAGGTTTGTTGTTCTAGATCTGTGTAAAGCGTGAATTTGGGGGTACCACGGGTATTGCGGCTAATCCGATTGGCGCATTTTATATTCCCTTTGTTATTTGCTATTCTGCTTGTCTAACCAAATACAATGGGAGCATATACTATTCGTTTAAGAATAATGGGGCGTGCATCCGATATTATTATTGTACTCGATTGTCTACAAGTTTAATGAAGCTTTTAAGGGAAGCTAACTTTCGAAAGTTGGCGTATTTATTGATTCGAACAAACTCGATGGACGACAAAAGCCCATCATTACTTGATTTCTTGCACTCGCAGTTTCCTAAAGGTTGATATAAGAACTATAACCATCATGATAATCATACGGAGTAGTTAGTGTTAGAGCAAATGGAAATATCATCTGCTGCCAAGGAAAAAAAACATATTGTGTGATTATAGGTCTGGTGTTTATTAAATACAGAGTTTTCATCGATTGTGAGCAAGATCGGAATAACTATAATTACAGTCGTACCCCTTTATAGTCACCCTCTCTATAAGCACATCATATAAAAACCTCTTTACTGTAACTGATATACTGTACAGTATACAGTATATTGCCAATCAGGTAGTAGTGATCTAAATTGTGGTGTATAAAACCGACAGACTTTGAATTTCTATATGTAAAGTAAGCGGACGCCCAAATAGACGACAACATGAGCAC